CAAACTTATAATCCTTCTGTCTCAGCCTCCCAAGTTGCTAGAATTAACAGGCGTGCAAACCCCTGCACATACCCATTTTACTTTTCTATTTATCATAAAGCAGTTTTTCCTCCCAGTATCTTATCTTAGGAAACATAATGCATTTTCATTGAAATCAAATTAGGAGTCTTTATTTTGTTGATTTTCTGTGCTGGGCATGGAAACCAGGGCCTTGCACATGCTGGGCAAGTGCTCTACAACTGAGCTACAAGCCCAGCCACAATTAGATGCTTTGTTTTGTTTTTTTACCATTAACTAGGGATTAAACCCAAGGTTACTTTAACACTGAGCTATATCCCCAGCACTTTTCATTTTATATTGTGACAGGGTCTCCCTAATTGCTGAGACTGGCCTCAAACTGGCAATCTTTCTGCCTCAGTCTCCTGGAACCAAGATAGATCTTTTTGGTTATATTTTTTGTTTAATTTTTGGTTTTCCCCTGTATTGTTAGAATATTGATCTTAATGATGAGGTTACAGATACTCTGGTGCCTGTCCTGCTTTAAAAGATGTTTGTTGGACACTTCAGCTTCTTCCTCTCTTCTTCCTTAATACCCCATAGCCTTGAGCTCCTTGCTGGCCTTTACAGGTTTGAAGAAGAGCTTTCTCTTGTTTTCTCACCTGGCCAAAACCTAATCTGATTCTTCCACACATTTGAAGGTCCTCAGGTTTTTCAGTTGGGTAATTACAGTATACTCAGGAATAGTTTGTTTTATTTGGATTGTCCAAGTTAGCCCTGGGATTACTAGAATAGCAACTGCTTGCATAACCAGGTTGTAGACAGACAATCCAACTTACGTACGTTTTTCCTTTCTGTATCTGAAAACCTTGAAGTTTGCCTGATGCTTATCAAATATATATATATATAAAATTATTTTTTTAGTTGTAGATGGACACTTTATTTATGTATCTATTTTTATGTGGTGCTGTGGATTGAAACCAGTTCATCCAGGTGAATCCTTGTGGATTTTTTAGTTTTCAAGTACAGTGGCAAAATTCAAACCCATGGAAATTTTTGGTATTTGCTTTTAGGTACTAGGGACCAAACCCAGAACCTTGTGCATGCTAACACAAATTCCACCAATGAGCTACACCCCCAACCCTAGAAACTCTTAATTGTTCTCTTTGGTGACAGATTGACCAAAGTAGTCTCCAAGCAGTGTATGTATATATTTGAATGTTCCTTCTACATTTTCCTCTTTAGGCATCTCCCCTCAGATGGAGGTCACATGTGTGCCCACTCCCACAAGCACAGTGTCCTCCATAGGTAACACAAATGGAGAAGAAGTGGGTCCATCTGTCTACCTGGAAAGGCTAAAAATCCTCCGACAGCGATGTGGTCTGGACAACACAAAGGTACTGCTCCTTTCCTACTGTGTGGGTCAGGGAGAACAGTTACATGGTTTGGGGATAGGCTGCCCCACAGAGAAGTGGCTCCGTCCTGGTGTATGTGGTTCCAGAGCTGCATCTTTTCCTTTGTCGTGCTTTCCCCAGTTTTAAACAGTGTCTCTTCTTCTCTCAACAGCAAGATGACAGACCTCCACTGACCTCTTTGCTTTCCAAACCAGCAATTCCTCCAGTCGCCTCTTCCACAGACATGCTCCACAGCAAGCTCTCTCAGCTGCGGGAATCACGGGAGCAGCACCAGCATTCAGATCTGGATTCTAACCAGACCCACTCTGCAGGAACTTTGACCTCCTCCTCGTCCTCTACAACTAACATTGATGACTTGAAAAAAAGACTGGAGAGAATAAAGAGCAGTCGCAAATGAAGCTGCCCATCCCCCTGCACCCTGCAGCTTTAGTTTACTAAACTAGAAGTCCTCATAGTGTGAAGTGGCCTTGGCAGGCCTAGTGTACACAAACTGGTTGTATGTATCAGACCGCAGCAGGTGGGGGGGAGGAATAGCTGTTGCACAAGTCTGTACGTGCCCCGCTTCTCTCCATCGACACCCGCCTCTAGAAGACTGTCTGTGGATTAGGTTAGTGTACAGACTTGTAAACAGCTGCCCCACTCAGCTCAGACTAGATTCCATATCCTTTTTCTTTTGTTTTATTTTTAATTGCTCATTTGTAAAATTGTCCTAATCTTTCCTAGCTTTTAACTATTAGAACTTCTTTAATAGTTTTGAGTTTGTGAGCTCTTCTCCCTGTAGCCCTGAAGGGTCACTGTATTCTGTATGAATGCATGGCATGAGACAACAACTAATTTAAGAGTCTTTTATAAATAAAGTTTGCATTAACTATACCTGTCTCCCAAGATGCTCCATATCTGGGAGTGCAGGGCAGCTCTGTCACCTTTTGGGGGTCAGCTGGGTAAATAGCCAGTTGGAAAAAGGTTCATTGCTGCCTGTTGAGCTCATACTGGGGCTGTCTGTTACTCCTGTGGGCAGGAGGACTTGCCTTTCCTTCTTTCCACATAGGGGAGCAGAGAAATCTCCATCCTTCCCTATCTTGAGGTCTTGGTGATGACTTTTCTTCAGTCATCTCCAGTAGTTCCAAGGAGCTTTTCCATCCCACCACTTTCTTTGCTGCCCAAATACAGATGAGACTGTGCTCAGGTATTGGCTGGACTATAGTGATTCCAACTCCACAACTGGATTTAGGTTCATTGGACTAATGGAGTTGGGGAGAGCTTGGTCATTTCCTGTTATCTGAGCTCTTGGTTCAGACCAACAGTTGCTTTGCAATGAGTATGAGTGAGGAATAAGATGTAAACTCAGGAGTCAAGTCTGGAATAAATTCCACAGAACCTCCCTCCATGGTGACAAAGACTTCAGGACTAAGATTCTTGATCAGGGGGAGACTTAAAGCAATTGGGAAGCTCTCCTAGCCCACCTTCTACACATCTGGTATTCAAAAACTGAAAGACTAGCCAGGTGTGGCCGCACAAGTCTATAATCCCAGCAACTTGGGAGGCTGAGATACAAGGATTGCAAGTTCAAAGCCAGCCTCAGCAACTTTGTAAGAACCTGTCTCAAAAAATTAAAAGGGTTGGAAATGTAACTGATGTAACTCAGGGGTAAAGCACCCCTGGGTTTAATTCCCAGTAGAAAAAAAAAAAAAGCTGATGGAAACTGAATCCACTCTCGATTATTCTATTAAATGAATTCCCTGTTAGTTCCAGTCATCATCTACAAGTGGTCCCTAGACTGCCTGAAATTAACCTTGTTTTTCTCCCTTATACAGCAAGCATTGAAGTGGGTAAGTGTTCACAGCAGGGTAAATGGAGTTCATTGCTATTGTAAAAGAGCATAATTGGAAAGTGCCTGCACTTTGGTCTGGAATTAGCACAACTAATTTGAAACCCCAGGTGCCCAGAGCTTACAACAGACAGTGATGTTGGTGAGATGTGTCTTTGTTTAAAAAAGCAGGTTTTGGGTTGCCCATGTTGGCCTCAAACTCTCAATCCCCCAACCTTAGCCTCCTGAGTAGCTAGTGCACAAGTGTGCACCACTGTGCCCAGTTTACCCTGCTTTCTGGTCAACAAGAACCAAAGAATGAGAGAAAGGAACTCTGTCCTAATTCTCTGTTCCCTTATGTATGGAAAAATGAAAAAGGATGTGGGGTTGTGGTTAAAGATACTACTTCAGAGTCTTTCTTGCTTTAAAACCATGCATGTTAGTGAAAATTCCAAGCCAAAAATGAGAACCACATGGCATCCATATTCTGCTCCCCTATCCTATACCTGAAGCAGATAGATATTAAGTTTTACTCCCTATAACTCAGGGATGTGACCTCTCAACACAGCCCTTCAGCTAATATCAATGGATGAACAATAACCTTGAAGAATGTGCTATGAAAGGGCATCTTTAAAGTCCTTTCACAGCTGCGCGCAGTGGTGCACACCTGTAATCCCAGCGGCTCTGGAGGCTGAGGCAGGAGGATTGCAAATTCAAAGCCAGCCTCAGCAACTTAGTGAGGCTCTGAGTAATTTAGTGAAGCCCTGACTCTAAATAAAAAGTAAAAAGGGCTGGAGATGTGACTCAGGGGTTAATACCCCTAGTTTTAATCCCTGCTACCAAAAATAAATAAATAAAAATAAAAACAATAAAGTCTATCATTCGTGATTTTTAAATTTATCCAAACCTTTTACAAATCCACTTAACCCCTAGGCCCTATTTCCTGGGAAAACAAATTGCTCTGATCTGTTAACTGCTGTGTGTGAATTTCAGGAAGCAACAGTCCCCCTGATAGGCTATTTGTGGGGATCAAAGAAGGGAGGAGGTAAGCAGCAGAGAAACTTCAAACATGCCAGGCTGGATGTCTGCCCAGTCTAGTTGCCAGGCAATAGTGGGAACAGAAGTACATCCTTTAAAATTTGAGAAATTTTCTCAGAGAGATCAAGGGACTAAACCATGGTTGTACCATCCAAGGCTGGAGCCAAAATCTGACCCAGAGGTCATGCTAGGAGCACTGCTATCAAATGAAGGCATTTTAAATACCAAGTCTCTTGGCAAAAATCTGCCATTTTAATGACATGAGGAAGAATGTAGGGTCTTACTAGGATAAGTCTGAGGTAAAGACAAAGATGCATCTACGTGTGTCCCCGTCCCCCAGCCTCTCCTCTGGGGTTAGGACAAGCTCTTTAGAGCAGAGCAACCAAAAGCACAGGCCTCACCAACCTTTGTTTCAATTCCTACTTTGATTTTTTCTTAGATGTGGAACTCTGGACAAGCTACTTCTCCAAATCTGTTCACTTGCCTACCTCTTGTTTGGATAGTACCCACATTCTATGAGTATTATCAAGACAATCTGTTAAAGCTCTGGGTGTGGAATGTTGTAAAATCTTATATATTCACCCTACCACCTCCCCTCTCAGCTGGCTGTGTCCTGGAGATGGTGGATTCTTTGAAGTTTTCCTGTGTAACCAGTAGTATTACTGGTTGTTCTGAGCCAAGTCCAGGAAGCTGCCCATGAACGGCACTGGGAGCATTGAGACTCATTGACAGAGTCACTTTTATTGAGAACTATCCTTTTAGAAACAAACCAAAAAAATAATTCTTTCACTGGATTGGTTTCTGTCACTTTGCAGTGAGGAGCCCAGAATGTGAGTGGCCCCTTATCCAAACCTATCAATGACCTTCTGTATCCACTTTTTCAGACGGAACACGTGTGTGTAGAAGCCATATTTCCCATTCCGGTCACAGCCTTCACCCCATGAGACGATGCCCATTTGATACCAGCGATTGTTAAAGGGGCTCTGAGAAAGAAAGACGAAGTTTCCAATAGTCAAATCCAAGGTAGTGTCCCTCCTCACCCAACCCTCCCGCTTCCTTTGAAATCTACCCACCAGCCCTGGCCTCAGAGAAGCTTACCTTCATGACAAAGGGTCCCCCACTGTCACCTTCACAAGCATCTCCTCGCTTCCCTTCATCTGGTTTATAACCTAGAGAGAGAACAGCAGGGCTCAGGAGCCACTCCCATTCAAGGGCTATAGCCTGTGAGGATCCCTTGTCCCCTTCCAGCACTCATCCTTGACCTCTTCAATTCCTTACCGCACACATCCAGTCCTTTAGCAAATCTCACTGGCTCTACCTTCAGCATATATCCCAAATCCAACTATGTCTCACCACTTCCACTCCTGGACCTCTCCCCTGAACCATACCAGTTTTCCCAGTTCTACTCTGCCCACCTATAATCCATTCTTCCTCTACACACACCAAACTGAGAATGATTTTTTTTTTAAAGGAAGTTAGACTTATAGGTAGCTGAGGATTATAGCTGTTCCCACTATCCTCAACAAACAACACAGAATGAGATGAACAACCACGACACAGCCTACACACACAAACCACACCTTCAACATAAATAGAACACTCATCCAAATTTCAAATTAATTCAGTATATTGAGTTGTATATCTAAATACTGAAAATTATGTAGGAATGAGATGGAAAATAGCTGCTTGATAGAAGACGCAGATGGAGTCAAATGGGGAATTTTATAAATAACCCTTAATCTACAAATAACTGGATGAAAACTAAATAGAACCATAGAAAGAGGCTATGTGAAAACAATACAAAGACCTGACAGGCACGGTGGTGCACGCCTGTAATCCCAGCAGCTCAGGAGGCCAAGGCAAGGAGGATCAAAGCCAGCCTCAGCAATTTAGTAAGGCTTGCTAAGCAACTCAGTAAGACCCTGTCTAATAAAAATACAAAATAGGGCTAGGGATGTAGCTCAGTGGTTGAGTGCCCCTGAGTTAAATCCCTGGTACCTAAAAAAAAATGAATAAAAAGACCTGAGCCAACAGAATTCTCCACAGAATACAACTCCAAAACTGTAGCTGAATAAAATATCCTCAAACTTGTGCATGTGAAAAGAATCTTGAATCAGAAATCCAAAAAATCTAAATGGACAAAACAATGAGAAGAAATAAAAAGCAGAAAGTAATTGAAATGGAACTCAAGCCAAAAGAAGGCATTTGAGTTCCTAAGGGAGAACAATAAAACAATGGAACAGAAACAGTATTTCATTAATAATCCAAGAAAATTTCACAGAAATGAAGAACAAATTGAATGTACATAGTAAAAGGATCCAATGGGTACCTGGCAAAATTGACCCAAAATAATCAACTCTGAAACATCCAAACAAAACTGCAACGCTTCAGAGATGAAGTAAAAATCCTCAAGGCCTCCAAGCAAAAAGATTGAAAATTTTACAAGGGTGAAAGAATTACACTGGCATTAGACTTTTCAAAAACAACATGCAATTGGGCTCAGTGATGCACACCTGTAATCCCAGTGACTCAGAAGGCTGAGACAGGAGGATTGTGAGCTCAAAGCCAGCCTCAGTAACTTAGCAAGATCTTGTCTCAAAATAAAAAGGGCTGGAATAGGAATTGTAATGCATTCTACTGTAATATGTAAAAAAATTAAAATTTAAAAAATTTTAAAAACATAAGAGCTGGAGATGTGGCTCAGTGGTTAAGTACCCCTGGGTTCAATTCCCAGTACCAAAAAATTCAAAGAAGAATATTAACTTTGGGTTTTAGTTACAATAAAGTTGTCCTTTAATGCCAGGACTATGAAAAAAAAAAATGATTGTAAGCTTACGACTCAGGAAACTCCACACCCATAACCCTTCTTGAAGAATCTTCTGATGGCTAAGCTTCCTCCAACCAAGAGCTGAGTGGGATGGGTTGGGGCTGTAGCTCAGTGGTAGAGTGCTTGCCTTGCATGCGAGAGGACTGGGTTCGATACTCAGCACCACATAAAAAATGAATAAATAAAACAAAGATACTGTGTCCATATAAAATTAAAAAGAAAAAGATCTGAGTGGGATTCTTCAATAGGAGGATTAATTAACTGTTCTAACAAGTAGAAATAGTACAACTAAAAATATGAGAGGAAAGGAAAATAAGCTCATTGATTTCCGTACAGCCGGCAGATGGAATTTAAAGGCGTAATTGAAAATTTAAGAAAAAAAAGCCAGGCATGGTATTGTACACCTGTACTCCCAGCCTCTCAGGAGCTTCACGAGGAGGAAGCAAGAAAGGATGGCTTGAGCCCAGCCTGGATAACAGAGCAACATCCCATCCAAAAAAAAAAAAAAGGTCAGACATGGTGGCATACACCTGTAATCCCAGTGACTGGGGAAGTTGAGGCAGAAGGACCCCAAGCTCAAGGCCAGCCTCAGCAACTTAGCAAGACCCTGGCTCAAAATGAAAAATAAAAAGGGCTGGGATGTAGCTCAGTAGAAGAGCAACTTCTGAGTTCAATAACCACAACCAAAAGAAAAGAAAAACAAGGAATTAGGGCAGTTTGAAGTGGGATCCCAAAGACTATCACCAGAGCAAAATGTAATTTTTTTTTTTTTTTGTACCAGGGATTGAACTTGGAGGCACTGAGCCACATCCCCAGACCTGTTGTATTTTATTTAGAGACAGGGTATCACTGAGTTGCTTAGCACCATTTGCTGAGGCTGGCTTTAAACTTGAGATCCTCCTGCCTCAGCCTCCAGAAACTGCTGGGATTACAGGCATGTGCCACTGCACCCAGCTTAAACTTTCCTAAATATATAAAACTTTCAAATGCAAAGCTCACACATCATGACCTGGGGTTGTGGCTCAGCGGTAGAGCACTTGCCTAGCAAGTGCAAGGCCCTGGGTTTGATCCTCAGTACTACATAAAAATAAATAAAGGTATTGTGTCCAACTACAACTAAAATATAAATATTTTTTAAAAACACATCACATGGGGCTGGGGATGTGGCTCAAGCGGTAGCGCGCTCGCCTGGCATGCGTGCGGCCCGGGTTCGATCCTCAGCACCACATACAAAGATGTTGTGTCCGCCGAGAACTAAAAAATAAATATTAAAAAATTCTCTCTCTCTCTCTCTCTCTCTCTCTCTCTCTCTCTCTCTCTCTCTCTCTCCCACTCTTTCTTTAAAAAAAAATAAAATAAAATAAAAACACATCACATGAAATATAATATACATAATAATTCTAAAATAATGAATTAATACTAACCCTATCAATCACATCAACAAATATGAATGGACTTAACTCATCTATTAAAGTTTTAATTTGACTCATAAAGTAAGAATCTGCTATTTATGAGACACATCTAAAACAATTCATAGAGGTTAAAAGTAAAGGGTTAGCAAAGAGTTATCAAAAAAAAGCAAGTGGGCTGGGGTCGTAGCTCAGTGGTAAAGAGCTTGCCTAGCATGGGTGAGGCCTTGGGTTTGATTCTCAGCACCACAAAAAAACAAATAAAATAAAGGTTAAATTCTTTAAAAAGAAAAGCAGGAACAGTGATCCTGAAACTGAAAATAATTTATTTTTTTTTAATATATTTTTTTGAATTTTTTAATATTTATTTACTGTTTTTAGTTTCCGGCGAACACAACATCTTTGTTTGTATGTGGTGCTGAGAATAGAACCCGGGCCGCAGGCATGCCAGGCAAGCGCGCTACCGATTGAGCCACATCCCCAGCCCACTGAAAATAATTTAAAGAATAATGTTAAAAGCTACAATCAAAATGAATAAGTAACAGTTATATATATCTGCACCAAATCATAAAGAAACCACATTTATAAAATAAAAACTATAGCATATGTAAAAGAGGCAGACAGAAATACATTAGTAATAGATTTTGGGGGCTGGGGTTATGGCTCAGTGGTACAGCACTCGCCTCGCATGTGAGAGACCTTGGGTTCAATCCTCAGCACCACATAAAAATAAACAAAATAAAGATATTGTGTCCATGTATAACTAAAAAAATTTTCAAAAAATTAAATAAATAAATAAATTTGGGGGGCTGGGGTTGTGGCTCAGTGGTAGAGATCACTTGCTGAGCATGTGTGAGGCACTGGGTTCAATTCTCAGGACCACATATAAATAAAAAAAAAAATAAAGATCCATTGACAACTAAAAAATGTATATAGGGGCTGGGGATGTGGCTCAAGTGGTAGCGCGATCGCCTGGCATGCGTGCAGCCCAGGTTCGATCCTCAGCACCACATACAAAAACAAAGATGTTGTGTCTGCCGAAAACTAAAAAATAAATATTGAAAAATTCTCTCTCTCTCTCTCTCTCTCTCTCTCTCTCTCTCTTTCTCTCAAATATAAATAAATAAATAAATAATGTATATAAAATAATAATTATTATAATAATAATAATAGCAAATAAATTTTCTATGGTGCTAGGGATCAAACCCAGAGTCTTGGTTATGTTAAACTCATAGTCAACCACTGATCTACAACCCCAGCTACAATAAGGGATTTTAATACAGCAAATGGTACAAAAGAGATTGAGTGAATTTAAGTAAGGCCATAAATTACCTAATAAGAAGTAATAAGGGCTGGGATTGTGGCTCAATGGTAAAGAGCTTGCTAGCATGGGTGAGGCTAAAAATAAATAAATAAATAAAATGAAGGTATTGTGTCCATTTACAACAACAACAACAACAAAAAAGTAGCTTGGGAGGCTGAGGCAGGAGGATTGTGAGTTCAAGGTTAACCTTAGCAATTTAGTAAGGCCCTAAGCATTCAGTGAGACCCTGTCTCTAAATAAAAAGGGCTGTGGTTAAGTGCCCCTGGGTTTAATCCCCATTTTTTAAAGAAGTAAGATACATTAGTGGATATTATATCAAACCTACACATGGATAATAGAGGACACACTTCTCAAGCACATATGTATCATATACAGAAATGGATCAAACATCATTCTCTCAAAAATTAAGTTCCAAAAAGTAGAATTATTACAAACAATACTCTCTTACCACAATGAAGTAAAACTAAAACTTATTAGCAAAATCAAAATACAGAAGGATCTTCTCATCTTGAAATTTATGTTTATTTTATTTTACTGTTCTGAGGATTGAACCCAGGTGTGTCCACCACTGAGCTATCTATCTCCCAGTTCTTTTTTACTTTTTGAGATATGGTCTCAGGAAATTCTGCCTCAGCCTCCCAAGCCACTAGGATTATAATCCTATGCCACCACATCTGGCTCCCGTCCTGAAATTTAAAAACCACCTTTAAACAACTCTTGGGTGAAAAGGGAATACAAACAATTTACTGAATTTTTTACAACAATGGCAACAACTAGAAGAAAATGAGTGGCCCTAATCAATAGATATGGAAGATAAAAAATAAATAAACCAGCCAGGCATGGTGGCATATGCCAGGAATCAGCTACTCAGGTGGCTGAGGCAGGAGGATCAGAAATTTCAGCCAACCTCAACAATTTAGCAAAACCCTTTCTCAAAATTTAAAAAAGAGGGGTGGGGTAGGAGTATACTCCATAGTAAAGCACCCTTGGGTTAAATCCCTAGTGACCAAATAAGAAACAAAAATTTATAAACCAAATTGTCAGTTCAAAAAGTCAGAAAGAAAACAACAAAGTAAACCAGAAGAAAGCACAGGAGATAAAAAATTTAAAATATTACCAAATAGGGGCTAGAATTGTAGCTTGGCCGTAGAGTGCTTGCCTTGTGTGTGTGAGGCATTGCGTTCAATTCCCAGCACCACATATAAATAAGAAAATAAAGGTCCTTCAATAACTAAAAAAAAATTTTTTTTAAATACTCTTTAAAGGGGCTGAGGCTGTGGCTCAGTGGTAGAGGGCTTGCCTAGCATGTGTGAAGCACTGGGTTCAATTCTCAGCACTACTTACAAATAAATGAGTAAAACAAAGGTCCATACACCTAAAAAATTTTTTTAATATTTTTTAAAAATAATCTTTAAAAAATATTACTGAATAGACAAATGATAGACTCATATGGAAAAGAAAAGAAAAACAATAGGCCTAATTATGGAACGAGTCAAATTCCTAGGTGTTATTTATTTGTTTTTGCAAAACTAGCAAACCACTAGCTAATTTACTCAAGAAAAATAAGGGAGAAAACACAAATATGTAAAAGTTACCAAGGAGGGAAAAAAAACACAAGGGAATGCACTGCAGCACTCAAGAAAGACAATAGCAGACTTGAACAAATGGAAAGACATTTCTTACCCTTGGATAGATATGACTGAAGATCAAAAGGATGTCAGTTTGCCCTAAATTAGTTTATAAATGTAACATATGTCAATATGCTTTTTTAATGGAACTAGAGAAGTTGATACTAAATTCATGTGAAAAACCAAACCTGAAAGAATTGCCAGGAAAACACTGGAAAAGAATAAGCAAGAGAGATGAGCCCTACTAGACACCCAACATATTCTAGAGCCTCTCCAGTTATAATAACCTGGAGGCTAAAGCAAAGCTCAGTAGTAGAGCATTTATTTGCCTCACATGGGTGAGGCCCAGGGTTCTATCCTCAGCAATGTCCCCCAAATGTGTTACTGGCTCAAAAAATAGACAACTGAACAATGTGTCCAAAAACATACTCAAGTACACATAAAAACCTAGAATGTGATGAAAGGGGCAAAAATGGAATTTTGAATGAATGGTGTAGGGATAGCTAGTTGGTATCTTAGCAAGATACTGTCTCAACATTAAAACATTTTTTAAAAAAAGGACTGGAAACATACTTTATATACAACCAGAGATATGAAAAACTGTGCTGCATATGTGTAATAAGTATTGTAATGCATTTCATGTCACTTATTTTTTAAAAAATCATTTAAAATTTTAAAAAAGAAAAGGACGGGAGATGTAACTCAGTGGTAAAATGCACCTGGGTTCAATCCCTAGCACCAAAATCCAGATTCAATTTCTTTTCTTTTGGTACTGGGATTGAACCCAGAGGCACTTTGCCATTGAGCTACATCCCCAGTCCTTTTTAGTTTTTATTTTGAGGCAGAGGCTCCCTACATTGCCTAGTTTGACCTTTATTGCAATCCACTTGCCTCAGTCTCCCAAATTGCTGGGATTACAGGCATGTGCCCCCATGTTTAGCTACATAAGATTTATTTTTTTAATTGCATGGCAAATGATTATAAATAATTTTTAAAAAACTGAAAAGCTGCAGAAAATATTTGTGATATATATCACAAATAAAGGCCTACTATCACAAGTTCATGAAGAAGTCTTTTTTTGTGTGTGGGGAGAGGCGAGGGTATCAGAGATTGAACTCAGGTGAACTCAACCACTGAGCCCCATCCCCAGCCCTATTTTGTATTTTATTTAGAGACAGGGTCTCACTGCGTTGCTTAGCCTTGGTTTTGCTGCTGGCTTTGAACTTGCGATCCTCCTACATCAGCTTTCCGAGCTGCTGGAATTACAGGCATGCACCACTGTGCCCACAGAAGTCTTAAAAATTGATGGGAAAATACCAAAAAATGGGCTAAAAATCAAGAAAAAACAATTCACAAAAATTATCTGAAAATGATAATTAAGCATATGAAAAGGTGTTTGACTTCTTTTTCAATTAGAAAAGGCAAATTAAAACTATGAGGAGATGTTCTCTCTCACCTCTCAGGTTTGTGAAAATGAGAAAGTATGGCATTCTGTTGGCAACGCTGTGGGGAATGGGCATTTTCATACACCGTAGATGGCAATGCAAGTTGGTACAGCCCATGTGGAAAGAAATTTGGAAATACCTAACAATACCTAAAATACCTAACATGAGTTCACCTCTTGACCTAACATCACCACTTCTAGAAATACTGGAAGACACACCTTCAAGGATCCAAAAATAGATGTGCACAAGATTATTCACCATAGCATTGTTTGTAACTGCAAACTACTGGAAATACTCTAAATGTCCATTCCTGGGAAACTGTTGAATAATCTATGGCATACCCATATAATGGAGTACTATGTAATTCTTTAACCAATATGGAATGCTTTTCCAGGATACACTCATTATATGGAAAAAGTGAAATACAAAGATTTTCTATACTGTGTTATGCTGTGTGTAATATAAGAGGAAATAAGAAAATGTGTCTGTTCATTGGTGCAAAAAGAAATACAGAAACAACAAGCCACAAACAAATGAGATTGGTTAATTACAGGAAGAGGATGGAAATGTGGTTGGAAGGCAGGGGGATGGGGAGAGAATAGAAGGAAGCAGAAGTGTCACCTCTAAAGTGTACAGTACCTGTCTCTTTTATGATCACTTGAACATTTCACGTACTTTAAAAGTAAATACAACAAAGATGGAGGAGGTAATATTGAACACAACCAGAAATGAATAAGTCTAATGGTATTTAAAATAAATAATACAGAGAAATGTGGGGAAGAATCAACCCAACTCAGTTACTTTTGGACTGAGTATTTTCACTGTGTACTCTTAGGGAAGCAATGGTTAAGAAATATTGAATTCTGTTAACAGGATTTTCACAGGGTCACGCATGAGGGAGTCTCAGTGTGCTCTGGTATTGATCAAATAAATAAACACATCATGAATAATGGGAGTCAGGTATTTCACTGTCAAGAATTACAAATATGGAAAGGGAGAAGCTAAAATGCATCTTGTGGTATTACTTTGGAATTGGAGGTCACAGTATGAATTCTTGATTTCTGATTAGACAGCTATAAAAATGGATATGGATGTTGTTACAGGTGTTGTACACATATGATTATTCAGCTCTCTCCATGTAGAAAGGTGCCTAGAAGAATGACACCCCAGTAGCAATGTGCACAATAGCCCCTGCATCTTGGTTTCTAAATACCACTCTCTATTGGAAGGGTTACTTGGAGAAATGACTGTGATTCAAGAATGCAGTCATTCTTCTGTGCATCTTGTTGTGCCAGAAAGTAAGGAAGTACTCAAAGAATGACAGGAAGCAGGGCTGGGGTTGTGGCTCAGTGGTAGAGCACTTGCCTAGCATGTGTGAGGCACTGGGTTCAATTCTCAGCACCACATACCAATAAATAAATAAAAAAAATTTAAAAATTAATCAACAAAAAAAAAAAACATTAAAAAAAAAAAAAAAAGAATGACAGGAAGCAGGACAAAGTGATCCATTCCTATAATCCCAGCAATTTGGAAGGCTGAGGCAAGAGGATAGCAAGTTCAAGGCCACCCTCAACAACTTGTGTCAAATTTACAAAGAAGCAAAAGAGCTGGAGGTGTAGTTCCTTGGTTTCAATCTCTAATACTGCAGGAGGAGAGAGAAGAACTAAGGCACTAAGGAAAGTGCCCACCCTCTTCCTGCACTCCTCTCCCACCTCATCTCCTGATGCTTTGCTGGGTTTACTATACTCCAGCCCACAGACCTCCTTGGCACTCCTCAGACTTGCCATGCATTCTCCCAACTCAGGGCCTTTGCACCTGCTGCCCCCTCAGCCTGACATGTGCTTTCCCCTCAACATGCCTCGGTTACTCCTCTGCTTCTTCCTGTTTCTGCAAACATCATCTTCTAAGGCTTTCTCCAACCCTCTCTGCCCACTCTATTTACAAGCACGATTACCCTTGTCATCCTCACTTGCTCCCTTAATCTGCCTTATTTTTCTTCATAGCACTTACAGGGACTGATGTTCTAGATCTGTTCATCGACATTCTCTCCTAGGAAGGAAGCTGTCTCAGGAAACAGGTATCCTCTGTGTGGGTCCCTGTTGTGTACCCTTGAGCACCCCCTGGAGCAGAGCAGGCGCTCGATAAATATTTGCTGAATGATTGAATGAATGGCTTTTCCCCACTCATGACCTCTCATTGCTGAGCTCGTGTGTACTGAACACTGAACTGGTGGCTGTCCCCATGTCAGATGCTTTATGTACACTCTTTCATTTGGCCCTCTCACAACCTTATGGCATGAACATTTTATCTCCATTTTACAGAGAAAGAAACTGAGCCTCCAAGAGGTTCGGCTCTTGGCTTATAAGTGACTGGAGCCAGAACCCCAAGTATGTGTCCATAACTTGTCTCAAGCTACCAGTGTGAGTCCCTGCTGTCCCCAGGCCTGTGAAGCACAAACTTGCCAGCGCAGAACATGTTGTCCGTAATGCGGATCCGCGTGGAGGCCTTGCAGATGGGCCGCTCCACGATGGGCAGATTGACCACCTGCAGGACACTGGGCTGCACCTCACTGACGGTGGTCGTCCATGTCTCCTTCAGATTGCCCCAGCCTGTGACCCGCCCTTTATATCCAGCCTGGAGCAAGCTTGGGGAAAGAGAAAAGGACCTGGTAAGACCAACCCTCCAGCAGCCTCTGGAACCCAACCCCACTCCTAGAGACCAGAATCTAAACCTCCAGCACAGGAAAGAACTTGCATTTCCTCCCTGAGACTGAGGCCTGGCAAGGAGGAAGGAACAGCAGCCAGGCCACACCTCATCAGCCCACCAGAAATCCAGCCGATGCCCCCGCAGGTCTGGCTGCCCCACCTGGCTGCCGTCTGCTTGTCGGGCAAGCATACGGGGTGAATGTGGTCGCTGAAGGTGATGGGCTTCTTGAGCTTCAGCAGGGCGATGTCCCGGTCCAGGTTCTCCCGCCAGTTGTACCTGGGGTGGATGTAGATCTTCTCCAGCATGGATATCTTTTCAACGTTCCGCTCGTACCTGCACACGCGCCAACAGAGACCCGGAGACACCATGGACTCACCCAAGTGAGAGGCAGCAGTTCCCCCAAAAAGTAAACTGCCTGTCCTCAGGGTCTGGGAGGCAGGGTGATCACAGGGCCACCAGGGAGGGGACAGAGCTAGTTCCTGTCTTGATAGCCTCCTGGAAGCTTCCTCCCAGCCCTAAACCCACACAGGGCTCTGGGGTCAGGCAGGCCAGGAGCCAAGGACAGAAGCACAGGCCATGCACCCTGTTCACACAGTCACTATCTGAAGAGACTCCAACCAGGGCCATGTCCTGGTGTCTGGAATAGAGTGGGGGACAGACCAGGGTTTCACTCTTTGACCCCAGCTCCAAGCCTCCATCAGGACATGGCCAATTGGGCCTTTCCGGTGGGGACAGCTAGGATGTCATATTGTGGGAAGGAACACATTTCCCACATACCCCGGAGCTACCAGGGTCCTCACAGGCATCCTGGAGGACACAGACCACTGCCAGACACACATAGGTCACTGGCTCTGTACCTGGTGCGGGAGTGCTTGCCAATGCGCACCAGAAGGTCATTCTCAGTGAAATTCTTGTCCCAGGGTGGGTACAGAAGGCAGTGAGCAGCTGTGAGGACCCAGCGGTCACTGATGAGGCTGGCCCCACACAACAGCTCCTGGGGACTCTTCCGGAAGAGCATCACCTGCCTGGTAAGGGGAGCAGGAGGCATTAGGACCCGGGGCACTGCCCTTCACCAGCCCTAAAAGTAGAAAGAAGTCCCAACTGAAACCTAGCTGGACAGAGCTGCCTCCTGGGCTAGGCTCCCAACTTGACCTGGGGGACTGGAGGGACTAGAGTCCCCACGTGATGCTAGGGCTGCTTCCTGCTTTTTGCAACCCTTCCCAGCCTCCTTCAGGGCAGAGTCTGCACCGCTTAGCACAGCTCTGGAGCCAGGAGAACTGGAGTCGAGTGCTGCAGCGAGCCTGGGGTGGGGCATTTGGGCTCTCTGGGCCTCAGCTCCACCATCTGCTTTGGACAATTAATAGAACCAATCTCATACGTTGCTGTGTGGATAAGAGATCACGGGTGCTAATGTCATCTGGGAAGCCCAAGCCTCTGGGCAGAGGGATCCTGCAAAGACTGAGGGGTGGGGACCAGCAGCAGCCCACCCGCTGGAGTGACTGATAGTGCACGGCTCCAGGACTCACCAAGGTGCGATGCCAACTTCAGCGTCCCAGCCCTCTACGATACGCCCATCGATATAAGAATCCAAAAGCTCATCTTCAGTTTTGTCCTTCACTGTCTTCTTCTCGAACAGAGGCCGCAGCCCGCAGTCTGCAGAGCAAACCAGGTGGTGAGGGGCTAATCGTGGGTACCAGCCCCAGCGCGACACAGACACCCATGGATGCCTCACCTGCCTCCCCGCTGCCAAAGGTCTTCTCATCAAAGAAGGTCTGGAACTCCTCCTTGGTGGTGCGTCCTCCTATGGTCCCGTCCCCATCCTCGCTCAGTGCATCCCCTGGCCCCTCTTCCACGGCCTCCTCTGTAGGGACCCCAGCACTGGCTAGGGCTGGGGTAGGGCACTCCTCACCCATGCCCTAGATCCCCACATACCCCAGCCAACCGTGGAAGACATTGGTGCTGAGGTTAAGAGCACACACACACACCTGGGTCACTAGGCAACTGCCTCAGTGCCTCAATGTGCTGGTCTGTGAAATGAGAATAGGACCTACACCCTGGGTTTCTGTGAGGCTATGATGAAGACTCTGGTGTGGCTAAGGGGCAGCGCCTGTTCTTGTTAGTCTCCCCCAGCTTTGTCCTCTGCATCTCAAGACCCCTACCCTGCCTGCTCACCACAATAGTTGAGGTCGCAGTACTCAAAGTCACCAGCCTGCCCAGCCACGTAGCACCAGGCACCTTCCTCATCCCCATCTGGGTTGCGGCAAAAGTTTTCCACCAGCTTCACCTCTGGGCTAAAATCCTGGTCCTTGCTCAGGGCCTTGGCCTGCGGGCTGGACCAGGACAGGCAGGGAGACCCGTGCGTTGTCACTGCCAGTTTCCCTTCGTACTGCCGGCCTCGCTCAGGGACACACTGCTCCGATGAGGGTGACAGGTTCCCCCTGGAGCCTCCAGAGCGGGGAGTCATCTCCACAGTGAAGCGCTCCTCACCTGGTGGGAAGGAGACAGGTGCAGAGTGGGTGGACCATACATGGAGCCCGGCAGGCTAGGGTTAGCTGACGTCTGTCTGTCTGACCTCAGCTGGCCTCTTCAGCTTCAGTTCCCTGCTTTCCCCCAGTACTAGTGCTTTTGCAGGGTTGTTGAGAGGATTAAACAAAATGTCCAGCATAAGCATCAGACAAGCCGGAGATCTGTAACCAGCTTCATCGTCCAGGGCGTGTTGTGATTTTCTAATTTTTTTATTTTGCAGCACTGGGGACTGAACCGGAGGGTGTTCCACCATGGAGTCACATCCCCAGTTCTTTTTATTTTTTACTTTGAGACAGAGTCTTGCTAAATTGCTCAGGCTGCTTTCAACAGACTGGCTTTTCCTGCCTTGGTCTCTCCACAGTCACTAGGATTATAGGCTATGTGACACTGACACTGTACCTGGCTTGAATATCTGTAATTTATTGGTAGTGACTTCATGGAGTCCCCCCCCCTTTTTTTTTCTGGTGGCACTAGGGATTGAACCAGGGCCACTCTGCCCTTTTTCTATTTTTTGATTTTGAGATAGGACCTCACTAATTTTCCCAGGCTGAGATGGAATTTGCAACTCTCCCTGGGATTACAGGGGTGCACCACTGCTTGGTACCAGGGATTAAACCCAGGGATGCTTAACCACTTAGCCACATCCCCAGCCCTTTTTAGTTTTTATTTTGATACTGGGTCTTGCTAAGTTGCTTAGGGCTTCGCTAAATTGCTGAAGCTGGCTTTGAACTAACTATCCTCCTGCCTCAACCTCCCAAACCACTAGGATTACAGGCCTGCACCACCACACCCAGCTTGGGTTCTGTATTCTTATAGGGCATGGCAGGAAAGATTGGTGGAGTCTACTAGGAATGCCTGTGTGGTTTCGGCGTGCCTGCAACCCATTTCTCATCAGTGTGTATGGGGGAAGGTGGATAAGAGTAGTTGTTTTTGGTTAAGGTGATTGGTATCTTGCTTTAAGACCAGACCCAGAAGGAAGCTATGAGTCCAAGAGGGATTCAGAAAGAACAAAACCCAGAAACCCACGTTCCCTGGATTGAATCGCTGTTCTGAATTCTTTATCCCTGCCTGCGGCCACATCATTTCCCTGTGATTTTAGAGGTAGCCAGTATTTTACGCCTTGAGTTGCCCTTGATCATGTGACTTGCTTCAGCCAGTAGAACTTGGGTGGGACTGACTGCCCATTCTGGCCTAGGCCTTAAGACATTAAAAACATTCTGCTGTCACTGGGGGGAAGAGCTGCCCCCGGGAATTGCTGGCACGCAGCCTCAGCCCCAGCATGAGCATGAGGGAGCAGCTCTGGGGCCAGAGCAGCTGGGAGCCAGGCTCAGCTGGACCCATCATTTGGAGCAGAGCCAAGCCCAGCCTACATCCATTGACATCAGACACACTAGCGAGTGCAGCTGAGACCAGCAGAGCCACCCCAGCCCAGCCTGGTCACGTAAGAAGGACATGCTGGTTGTGTGTGCCCCTGAGCTACTGCAGCTGCTGTTTTGCAGCGTTACTGTGGCTATAGCTAAGCCACACACCATGGGAAGAGAGAACAACAGACTCTTGCAGGCCTGAGCTGTCTAAGGCTTGCTCTGTGTTGCTCAGCAAAGGGTTTGGGGACTGAAATGGTCAGGGAGGGCTTCCTGGAAGAGAATGCCTTGCAGGAGAGAAAGCAGGTTCCGAATGTGCCAGAGCCTGGATGAGAAGGCAGCCAACACCCGAGAGAGAAGTCGGCTTGCCCAGGTCTCCCCACCTCCTGACTGACAGGCACATTCAGTTTTGAATGACTAACTTCAGTGGTAAAGGTAGCCAGGGTCTTGTTGCCCATTCCGGGCTGTCAGACCCCTGGACGATCCCTGGGCCTCGGTCACCGACTGCCTGATTGCCCCAGCTTACCACAAACGGGGACGCTGCACTCTTCCCTCCGCACCGTGGGGTCTGTGGTATAGCACCAGGGCCCTGTGGTGCTGCCGTCCGGGTTGCGGCAGAAATTCTCCTGCAGTTCAGCCCCAGGATGGGTGGTGGAGTTGATGCTGGAATAGGAGATTGCTCAGCAGGAGCCATGCCTGCCCCTCGTCCTCACTCCCCATTCTCAGCCCACCACTCACTCAGGTTTATGTGGGTAGCGACTCTTCCACAGCTGACACTCAATGCCTGACCGGGTGACGTTCACATGTCCTCGGTAGTTCATGCCCAGATCCTTGGCACAGTTACCTGCAAGGAGACCCCAGCCTGGGTCAGCTGAATCCAGAGGATCTGTCCCCTTCTCTCCTGGCAAAACTCTGTCTGTCCACCCTCCCCAAGCTCCCTCTGGCCCACTCTTCTTAGCCCACAACATCCCTGCTCAGCAACTCCTGTGCACACAACAGTTCTCTATCCCATTTAACAGCTGTCACCAGATAGTCACTGAGTGCTCACTACATGAGAACCATGTGACAGGTACCATGCCAGGTACTGAGGACCTAGCAATAAGTAAGACAGTCACAGTCAAGGTAGGTGTCTGTCTTCATGGAGCTTCTGTTCATTGGCTCCTTGTGGCCAGTAAAACGAAAAAGTGAACAAGGTCCTTCTAATTGGGCTCCGGTCTCTCCCCCTGTCATCTTAGTTGCTCATGCTTCAGGGCCTTTGCACATGATACTTCCTCTGAGGGCATGTTTCCTGGTTTCACCAGGGCATCCCTCTAGGTCAGATAAACCCTACTTCTTCTCGGAAGCAGTCCCTGATTCTGCTATCAAACAGATGTGCTTCTCGTGTGTGTGTGTGTGTGTGTGTGTGTGTGTGAGTGTTGTACCAGGGATTGAACCCAGGAGCACTCAACCACTGATCCACATCCCCAGTGCTCTTTATTTTTTGAGACAGGGCCTCGGCTAAGTTGCTTAGGGCCTTGCTAAATTGCTGAGGCTGGCTTTGAACTCACGATCCTCCTACCTCAGCCCCCTGAGCTGCTGGGATAACAGGCGTGTACCACTGCTGCCAGTTTCTCATGTGTTTTCTTGGTACCTGGAGTAGAACTTTTCTAGAGATCATGTTCATGTTTTGTATTTTGTTTTTCTATGAGATCGGGAGGTCCTTGAAGGCAGGGACTGTATTCAATTTTCTTAAAATTCCCAGCACCTGACACACTGCCTGGAGCCTACCAAAATGTTTATTAAGTTATTTAACAATTGAAACTATGGCTAGTGATAGGAGTTCCATGTCATGGGGCCTATTGTCACAATGAAGATGTGTTTGGAACACTTGAGGAGCAGGGAGGGTCCCTGAAGGCTCAGAGAAGGTGGAGGCCTTTGAACTAGTATTGAAATAGGGGCTTTCAGTGGGCTGTGAACGGTGACACTATAATTAAGGACCAAGAAGTAGGAACATCCTGACATGCTTCCAGAAGTGCTTGTAGTCAGAGTAGCAGGAGGTTTGGGTTCACATTTGGTACAGCAGGAAGTCTAGAAAGGGAAGTTAAGGGCAGAGCCTGCAAAGTTTGCCAGGCTAAGACACCTGTGTTTTTTTTCTGTGAGGGTAATGGGGAGCCACTGAAGGTTGTAGAGAGTATGTGACATTATCAGAGCTGTGACTCAGGTAGACAGAAGGTCCAGTCAGGCAAACAAGAATAAGGGTCTAAAAATTAATTATCCATTCACTCCTTTGTTCCTCCAACATGAATCACCTGCTGACTCTCAGAGATCCACATGCAAATACACATCCTTGACGACAGGGACTTCAATGTCAGGGCCACACTCCCCACCTGCTCTCCTCCTCTTCCAGGTGGCCCTGGCAGATCCTGCCCCCACCCTGTCGCTCCTCACCTTCCATACACTCCATGAAGTTGGCTCTAGGTTTCCTCACTGGCTCACAAGCTGGAAAAGATCAGGAACACCTTTGGGATCGGGGCAGGGACAGGATGGGCTGGAGTGAAAGCGGTGGGATGACAGGGATAGCAGCCGACTAAGAGAGGGATGGGGGGTGGTGGCATGCTCCAGGAGGTTCTAGGGGCAGGGCGTTCTCTGGCCGGAGCCCCCGCCTCCCTTCCTGCACTCACCTGTGTACTTGGCCCAGAACACATCCTGAAAAACAAGGGCTGGGATGAGACTCTGGCAGGATGGAGTTTGTCTCCCTCAGCCTGTCACACAGGGGCGGGAGGTGCGGGGCCAAGTCTCCTACTTTTGCTTCCAAAAGGAGAAGAGTGTGTGAGGAGAGAGGAGTCCCCGGCACACACCCCACCGTGGGCTGGGGGAGAGGGACACGCAGGGCCCCCCGTTGGGAAGGGCTGCCCAGAGCTCCAGGTGCACCAGACCCCAGCCCGGGCTCCTGGCCTCACCAGTTCCCGGCCAAGGGTGGCGCAGAGGGCAGAAGAGCTTCCACCAGGATCCGGCACCCCCAAGAGCCCAGCGTAGGCACATAGGAGGCCCTGGATGTCAGGGAGCCTCAGCAGGACTTGACCGTGACACATCCCCGGTGGAGGGGCCTCCCAAGAGCCACTGAGGCTACCCATCTTGCAGCTCTCAACGAGGAGGGCTGACCTGCTCCCCTGCTGCGGCACAGAGCTCCTCCTGGGAGCAGCCCAGGCTCACCGTGGCGCTGGTGGACTCCAGGGCCTCGAAGGCCTCCTCGTAGCTGCACTGCTCCTCCACGCACTCCCGCTCCAGGTTGCCCTTGCGCAGCTCCTCCAGGAAGCCACTGTTGGCCCGCCGGACCCGCTGGAGCAGCGACAGTGCTTGCTGAGGGGCCAGGAACACTGCAGTAGGAGGGTCGTGGGACGGTGGCCTCAAAGAGCTCGGCTGTCCTGGCCATTTTTGTGGGGGCAGGAAGCAAGCCTGGCCTGCCCTGCCCTGCTGGCTTCCAAGAGGGGGTTTCTGGGATGCCGAGTCCCTGCAGGCTGCTGACACAGCTTCCCAGCTCCCCTCCTCTAACTGGTGCCCCTTGCCCACTCCCCCACCACGGCTGGGAGAAGCAGTGGCCGGCCTGCCAGCCCCGAGCACCTGCCCGCTTCCTTAAGCGGGACACTCTACCTGAGACCCACCCCAGGCCTGCCTGGGCTCTCTGCTGAGCCCGTGGACCCACACCATAGCCCCTACCCTGCCCCAGCTTCCCAGTGCCCCCTTACCATCCTGGCTGTGCACAAGGATAACCAGGGCAGCCAGGGCCAGGCAGCCAGATAGCCCCAGGCCTCGGACGTGCGCCATAGTGCGTCAGCTCCTGGGACTCTGAGGGATTGTCCTGACCCCTCTAGGTTAATGTTGAACCAACATGAAGAAATGTGTGGAAAGGGAGAGGTCAGCGGGTCAGGGCCATGGGGACAAGTAGACAGATAGTCCTCTGGTCCACCCCCACCACTGGGGAGGACAGGTCTTCCTGGGACCAGGGACAGGTTTCTGAGAGGAAGTCACAAAGGTAAGTTGATAGCCCATGCCCCTCCTCCCTCCCTGAGACATGGGTGAAAGTGTCAGTGGGGCCACCAGACCTTCCTGAGGTTCCTTCCTATCCTAACAAATAGTGACGGGCACTTCAGCCTCTGTGGGCTGAGTTTCCCTATCTGTACAATGGGAATCATACTTTTGTTGTCAGAACTAAGGGAGATTATGAATGTAAGCCCATGAAATACAGAAAGTGCTTAATAATCTGTAGGTCTACACATGCAAATCAACGAGGAGGTTATGTAATCATAGTGCGCAGGTATAAGGAATGGAGACAGGGGTGTGGCAGGATGGAAGCTGGCCCCTTGCCCTTGGATGACCTGGGGTAGGGACAGCTAACATTGGCCCCAGCCCATTTCTCCTTTTTCCTGGCTAGGGTGCTGTGGAGGAGTGTTTGTGTGGGACAGTTGCCTGTCTGGGAGGAGGAGCTGTGCCCAGGGCCTCTTGGGCCTTCCATGTATCATCTTCTCCCATCTCCTGCCTTAGGACGAGCCAGTCCAAATCCCTGGGTCTCCAGGGCAGGACCCTTCTCTTCCACCTGTCTGCCCTGTGCCAGGCTAGGGAGGCTTCTGGGCCCAGCCTGTGCCTGTCCCTCCCCCATTTCCTATTTGCAAAGTAAATATTAGTCCTGGGTCTAAGTAGAACAGAGGGACAAAGAGCAGGAACACAGAGAAGCCCAGGTGCTTGACTTGCCTTGCCTGTCTCCAGGCCTGGCTGTTCAGGGTCATATACAGCCTGGGAAGAAAGAGACCTGGGGACCAGGACTCCCACAAACCAGCTTAATTCCTCAGTAGACTTCTTCCTATATATTTTCATATATATTTGTAAATTTGTAAATTCATATGTATTTGAAATTTACATATATAAATTTATATATACATTTACATAAATTTATGTAAATTTCTAATACATATGAATTTACAAATTTCAAAATAGTGTTGCATGCCTATAGTATCAGCTACTTGGGAGGCTGAGGTGAGAGGATAACTTGAGTTTACAAGCTTGAGACCAGCCTAGGCAACGTAGCAAGATATCATCTCAAACAAAACAAAATAAAAAAACAAAAAAACTGGGCAAGAGGCTGAGGCAGGAGGATCACAAGTTTGAGGCCAGTCTCAGCAACTTTGCAAGGTCCTAAACAACTTAGTGAGATCCTGTCTCAAAACAAAAACATAAAAAGAGCTGGGGATGTAACTCAGAGGTAAAGTGACCCTGGGTTCAATACCCAGTACAAAAAAATGTCTCTCTCACACACACACACACAAACATATATATAAATTTCAAATTATATGTAGTTTTATTTTATGTATTTTTAAATTTTTGAGCCACTGTGTCTGGCCCAAAATTATATATACAAGCTAGGGATGTGGCTCAGTGGTAGAACACTTTCCTAACATGTGCAAAGCCCTGGGTTCAATCCCAGTACTGACAATAAAAAAATCATGTACAAACTTGTGTAACCAGTTCCCAGTTGGCTCTTTCATGTCACCACACAGCTGTCCCTCCTAAGATAACAACTGTTCTAACTGCAATCAGCAGAGATCAGTTTTGCCTGTTCTTGACCTTGATATACATGGAAACTCAGCATGTATTTGTTTATGTCTGCCTTTTCTACTTCCACCTGTCTTGAGATTCCCCCATGATGTGTGCATCACAGGCTGGTTCCCTTTGTTGCTCTGTGGTCTCTCATTGCATGAGTGTGGCACATTTGGTTTATTTCTTCACCTGCTGATAAGCATTTCAGTGAATTTCTAGTTTGGGGCTACTATGAACCACACTCCTATGAATATTCTTGAACATGTCTTTTGGTGCAAATAAACTTTAGTTTTACTGGGTATATGCCCAGGAGGTATTTGCTGGGTCATAAGGTAGGCATATGATTTACTTAAGTCTCTAGGACAAAAGACTGTCGGGGGTGGGGCGACACCATCAGTCTTAGCTGTGCAGATGACAACCTGGGAACTATTTGGTTGAGCCAACAGTTGTCATGGACAAGATGCCAGGACCTGTATTCTTCAGAATGAAGTTTCCATAAGCCAACTTCTCCCTCTAAATTTGCTGCCAGTGCTATTATGATATATAAATTCATCAGCCTGACACACAAACCCAGGAATAAATCTGGGAAAGCAGAAATCCTTATAACCAGATCTCATTTTTCTAGTAGTTAGAGAACTGAAGTTTTCTGCTGGGAACATTGTCTTCAAACAGCTTGCTGAAGATATGGGCCAAGAACTTACCCATCAGCCAGGCGTGATAGCGCATGCCTATAATCCTTGCAGCTATGGAGGCTGAGGCAGGAGGATCTCAAGTTCAAAGCCAGCCTCAGCAAAACTGAGGTGCTAAGCAACTCAGTAAGACCCTGTCTCTAAATAAAACACAAAATAGGGCTGGGGATGTGGCTCAGTGGTTGAGTGCCCATGAGTTCAATCCCTGGTACAAAAAAAAACCAAAAAAAAAAAACCTTCATCCTAGTGTGAGGAGGGGAGGACTTGGGATGTGGTTAGGTCATGAGGGTGGAGACCTCTGAATGGGATTAGCACCTTGATAAGAAAAGGCAAGAGAGGGATCCTCTCTGTCCTCCATCATGTGAGGACACAATGACAGGATAGCCATCTGTGAATCCTCACTAGACACTGAATCTGGGGCTCCTTGGCCTTGACTTCTAGCCTCCAGAACTGTGAGAAATCAACACTTGTTGCTTAAGCCACCAGTCTATGGTAATTCGTTAAGGCAGCCTGAGCGTGCCACATACTCACCAAACTTGTAACTCCAAATAAGAGTCTGCAAAGAGGCCAATAGGTCCTACTGAAGTATCTCAACAGCAGCCTTCCGAGGTGGATATTGTTATAGTTCCGATTTGTCAGATGATAAAATCAGAGCATGAACTTCCAAACCAGTGCTCTCTTTCAAGCTGGAATGGCTGTCAGGCTTGTGAAGTTCTGATAGCAAGAGAACAAGGAGCAGTCATCAGCTCCACCTCCCTCTTTGCCTCTCCTTGTTTTTTGTCCTCCTGTGTCTTCTCCCTTCCAGGCCTGGCCCATGCTGGTCCTGGGAAGAAGGAGGCCATCTGGGATCACCTACTTCAAGGTGATCTCTCTACTTCTCAGGAGTCCTACTCACTTCCCTTACTAATATGTAATTTTAAAATAAATTAGTGCTGTGACATCTTTTCACCCACTAAATTTATAGAAAAGGTTTAATGTCATCTATCAACAGAGAATGTACATTAAAACTTCAGTTCTCTGACCACTGGAAAAATGAGATCTGCTTATAAGGTTCCTGCTTTCCCAGATTTATTCCTGGGCTTGTGTGTCAGGCTGATGAAGTTACACATCATTATAGCACTGGCAGTAAATCTAGAGGGAGAAGTTGGCTGATGGAAACTTCATTCTGAAGAATATGGATCCTGACTTCTTGTCCACTATTTGGCTCAACCAAATAGTTCCCAAGTTGTCTCCTGCACAGCTAGGACTGATGACGTGCTCTTTAGCAAGGTGAAAGATGGCATGAATCTTGTGGAAGTTGTGGGGTGCCTTGGATCCAAGAATGACAAGACCAGGAGAAGACTCTAGGCCATTCTCATAAATTTAATTTTGTGTTTCATCTTATCCCCAGCTATTATTTTGTCTCTAAGGAGACAAAATTGGATTCCATATATCCTTTCTCTCTCTTGAAGTCTAGCTGGATTACAGAATTAACTTTATGGTATGAAATAAAAACCAACCCCTCCAGTACATGTTAAGTATCGCCATGCCTGCCACATAATAAGCACTCCATAGACAGCATTATTTATTTGTTTTTGTTTCTCGCAGTATTAGGGATTGCACCCAGGGCCTTGTGCATGCTAGGCAAGCACTCTACCACTGAGCTACATTCCCAGCCAATAAGCAGCATTATTACATGATATGATATAATGAAATAGCTGTAAAGGTTTGTCCTAAAATCATGAACACGAGCTAATAAAAACTCTAGCTTTAATCACAAGTTTACAGGCAATACAGAAGGTAAAGGAATAAATTAGAGACCAACATAATCCTAAATATGTTAGGGACTTCAACATATGAGGGACATTCAACAGGACAAATGACCCATTTCTCTGACAAACTCATGACATGCAAATAAAGGGGTGGGGTAAGGAAGACGATTCAGAATAACAGGAGTCTATGAGACCTAACAATCAAACGTCAAAAGCAAATAGAATTACTATGATTGGTTTATATTTTTTAACAAAAATTATAAAAAGACATTTTTTTTTTTGATAAACAAGAATGTTTAAATATCTGGTTGTGACTGTGTGCACATGTAGTCTTGGCTACTTAGGCTGAGGGGATCATTTGAGCCCTGCCTGTGCAACATGGTGACACCCCATCTCAACACCAAAATAAAAAAAAAAGGAATAACATTTCAATGTAGATTATGTATTTGATTATATTAAATATTTGTTAATTTGATGTGTTATATGACATGTGATTATATTCTTATTTTTAAAAACTTTTAAAATTATACATAATAGTGGAGTTCATTGTGATTCTTTTTTTTTTTTTCCTCCAGAACTGGGGACTGAACTCAGGGATGCTCTAATAGTAAGCTACATCCCCAGCCCTTTTAAAATTTTACTTTAAGACAGGGTTTTGCCTTGTTGCCAGGGCTGGCTTTGAACTTGCGATTCTTCTGTTGTAGCCTCTTGAGTTTCTGGGATTACAGGTGCACTCTGCTGAACCTAACAATGAATGATGCTAGAAAAGAATGTGGGGGGACTGGGGTTGTGGCTCAGTGGTAGAGCGCTTGCCTAGCATGTGTGAGACACTAGGTTTGATCCTCAGCACCCCTTAAAAATAAATATTGTGTCCACCTACAACTAAAAAATATTTTAAAAAAGATATTGTGTCCATCCATAACTAAAAATGTTAAAAAAAAAAAAAAAAAGAACTTGGCAAGCCCCAAGAAACAAGGTTGAAAGACTAAAAACTAATTTTTTTTTTTTTTGTACCAGGGATTCAACAGGGGTGATTCACCACTGAGCCACATCTCTAGCCCACCCCCTTTTAAACAGATGGACACAATATCTTTATTTATTTTTTATGTGGTGCTGAGAATTGAACCCAGTACTTCACAAGTATGAGGCAAGCACTCTACCGCTGAGCTATAACCCCAGCCCAATTAGCCCTTTTTTATAATTTTTATTTACTTATTTATTTATTAGTTTTTGGTGGACACAACATCTTTATTTTATGTGGTGCTGAGGATTGAACCCAGCGCCCCGCACATGCCAGGCGGGCATGCTACTGCTTGAGCCACATCCCCAGCCCCCCCTTTTTTATATTATATTTAGAGACAGGGTCTAACTGAGTTGCTTAGGGCTTCAGCTGAGACTGGTTTGAACTCAAAATCCTCCTGCCTCAGCCTCCCCAGCAGCTGGGATTACAGGCATGCACCACCACACCCAGCCTAAAAACTGTTTTTCAGTTTCATTATCTGTGAATCACCTATTTTGTAGGACAATGGAGAGATGAAAGAATTTATGTGCTTCTCCATGGGGTGGGCAGTAGTTTACACCTGTAATCTCAGCTACTCAGGAAGCTGAGACAGGAGGAAGATTCCCAGTTCAAGGCCAGCCTCAGCAACTTAGCAAGGATAGGTCTTAAAAGATTTTCAAAAAGGGCCTCTGGGTTCAAACCCTAGTAACACATGCAAAAAGAATGTTTATGCTTCCTGTCTTGTCTTCCCACTCTTCCTCAAAGCCAAGCAATTCAATGTGGCTTTCAACTACTCTCAGCTCCCCAGTGATTTCCATGAACCTCAGCCCTCTCAACAGCAGCATTGCTGACCACCTCCCCCTTTTTGAAATGCTGTGTCCTTAGCTGCAGTGACACATTTTGCAAATGTGTCTCTTATACTGGTTGCTTATTTCAGACTCCCCTCATGAGCCTTTCTCCTCAACCTAAAGGGCTGGGCCATGTTGACCCTGGGCCTGCATCTCCTCCCCTCTCCCTGAATCTTCCACTCCCACGTCTTCTATTTGCCTCTCCCTCTCCAACCTCTCCAAGGTTTTTCTTCTCAGGTTTGTACCTATTTCCAACTGTTTACTTGGGCCCACCCCCAGGAGACAGCACACCCAAGCTTTGAGGATCAGCTCTCCTTATCCACCTGTTCCTTGAATTCAGTCACTTGGACCTCCCAGTGAACAGATCTCCCCAAGTAACTACCCCCGCAGACATGGCCCCTCAGTCCTCACTCCACTGTGTTATCTGCTAGGATTCAAGCTGCTCCCCAATGTCCACTCGGCTCACTCCCCTGGCTTGCTGAGGTCTCTGCTCAAGTTGTCTTCTAAGACCACCCACTGTAGGACTGCACCTCAGCTTTCACCCCTCACCCCATTATTATACCTTTCCAAATACCTACTCATCCAGGTCACAAGTGAACAAGGGACCCTGGAGTGCAGAGGTTAAGAGCCTAACTCCAGTGCTGGCAGGACTAGGTGGATTTGAATCTCAAACACTAGTAGCTTTGTGATCCTGGACACAATCCTTAAGGGGTTTTGTACTTGTTTCCTCATCTATAAAACAAGGATTAATAATGCTACCTACCTGTCAGGGTTGCTTCATGGGTTAAATACTCACATAAAGCACTGGTTCACAGTAAGGCCAAAGTGTTCCTTGTTATCACTAGGAGGCCCACCCTGGTGCCCCAGGCTGGGCTAAAACAGTCAGTCCCATTAACACACCACAGCACCTAGTGGTGCCCCCACTGAACTCTTACCCTATGGTTGCTGGCCCCCATTCCTGACCTGGTGGTTCTAAAGGGCATTTCCTCTGTCTTGTTCATAGCTGGACCCCCAGCACCTAGGGCAGTCCAAGCCCAGAGCAGATGAAAACACTCCTTCCCTGAACTGGGCTGTTAGGTACACAGAAGGGCACAGATCTGGCCCCGGCTGCCTCCCAAGGAATTTGCTGTCTTTCAGCACAGATTGATAACTTAGGACTTAGGTGGTATGAAAAGCTGTCAAAAAAATTACCTAAAGACTGAACTACAGAGATGTGTGATGTGGGCTGCAAGCTGAGCTCTTCCAACTCTCGGAAGTCAAATTGGTTCCAAATGGAAGTGCTTATCCCCAAGAGAGTTTGATGGGTGTACTACCCTGGCAAACAGCCAGTGGTTTAGGAGCACTGCCAACTACTGGCTGTCCCACTGGATGGAGATGAGGTCACTTCAGTGAGGCTCACAGAACAAGCATCCATGGTGTTCCAGGGGGAGGAGGTAGGGGCAAGTTCTCCTGGGAGTCAAAAAGGATCTGTACCCAGGAGAGGTTTGACCTGGCAGTCCTGGGACAGTTCAATGGTTCATAAGCAGGAAGGACCATCCTAGACTTCTGTTCCTACCAGGTAACTCAAAAAGAAAGAAGATGCAGACGCGTAGAGCTACAGACTTTATGGAGAGCTGTGAGAAGGCCCACGTGTCAGGTGCCTGTCTCTACCTCCACTACCTCTGCCCAGGCACTAAAGCCCATGTCCTTATGGATTAGCACCAGGTTGGGGCTAGGGTCCTGGCTCTCTGAAATGGTGACCTCAACAACATCCCTGGTTGGAGATGCTTCACTTGGGCTGCGCGTGTCCAGGAGCTCTGGCTCAGTCTGCAGGAGCACCATGGTGGGCTCAGAAGCAGCAGGAGGTACAGAGGGGGGATTGGAGGGTGGCCCAGGCTGATGACTAAGCTGGTGCCGCTTGAGGCTTTGGGGAAGGGTGTAGCCCATGCCACAGGTGGGACAGCGGTAGGGTTTGTCTGCCAGGTGGGATTTGAGGTGGCGCCGCAGCTTGGTGGCCAGTGTGTAAGCACGGCCACATTGGGGACATGGGAAGGGCCTCTCCCCTGAGTGCAGGCGCTCATGGGCACGAAGGGTATGCGGGTCTCGGAGGGCCTTTCCGCACACGGGGCAGAGGTGTGCCTCCCCAGTGTGGGAGATGAGGTGGCGCCGCAGTTCAGGCAGCTGGGGGAAGGCATCCGCACAGTGCGGGCAGCGATAGGGGCGCTCCCCGGTGTGCAGCCGCAAGTGCCCATGCAGGTTGCCCCGCTGTCGGAACGCCCGGCCACAGTGTGGGCACAGGAAGGGCTTTTCCCCTGTGTGGAGCCTCATGTGGTTCCGCAGAGAACCCTGATTGGCCAGGAGCCGCCCACAAACAGGGCATGGGCATGGGGCAGGGGCAGCTGGCACCTGGTGGGTCTTGCGATGCAGTCGCAGGGAGGGCCGGCGGGCGAAGGCTTTGCCACACTGGTCACATGCAAAGGGCCGGGCACCAGAATGTACCACCTGGTGTTCTCTGAGGTCTCGCCGGGTGCCATAGGCCTTGTCACACTGTGGACAGGGGAAGGGCCGCACCCCACGGTGGCCCAGCACGTGGGCTTTGAAGCTTTCCTCTGAACTGTAGCTCTTGCCACACTCGGTACACAGGAAGGGCTTGTGGCCTGTGTGCACGAAGGCGTGCTTCTTTAGATGGCACAGTTGCAGGAATGCCTTTCCACACTCCCCACACCGGTACCGTCGCCCCTGCTTTGGGGCATTTCCAGCAGGGCTCCATAAGAGTACAGGGAAATGCTGGGCCCCGGGCTCTGAGGTCTTTGCTCTGGGGGCGCACTGATCATTGGGGCCACATAACTTCTTGGCCAGGCAGGCATGCAGCTGGGTGCCCCTGGCAGAAGGTAATGAACTGGCTTCACAGTCCTCTGAGTCTACCTGGGCAGTGGAGCCTCTCTGAGATTCAGGTTCACTGCTCTCTGTGCCCTGCTGGGTGGCCAAGCTGCTCTGAGTTTCAGGTGGCATCTGTGCCTGGAGCAGGCACTCCTCATCCACACTATCCACACTGCCATCCTGAAGCAACGGGCCAAGAGGCTGGGTATTCTTGGAAGGCTGATCCTGGGCTTCGGACTTAGGCTCAGAGTTCACCACATTCTCTGTCTGGATGCTGTGCTGTGACTGGTGACCAAGATCTATAAAACAAGAGATGGAGTGCTGGAGTTAATTGAACTTGGTAGAAGGTGATATTGACAGGTAATTATAGGATATGTATTTTCTCCCAGCCCTCAAACCTCAGTGGGTTCAATCACACCAATCTCTTCCCTGAAACATGAGCTGTATGTACACTCTTTTCCTATCCAGTCTCAGGTGCCTCTGGGGAAGTACTCCTAGAAACCACAGCACCCTACCTATATAGTTAATCCCTAGAGGAAGCCATCAGAGTATGGTCCTCCTGTTCTCCCCTGGGGACATACACTTAGACTGTGATCCAAGCCCCCAACCTCCCCACCCGAGTTCTTCTGTAAAACAAAAGGAATCCCTGCCTGCACCCCAGAGAGAAGAAACTTATGAAACTGTAAACTTTGTATACAGCTTACTGTTTTCATCAATATGTCCTTATTATTCCAGGAAATTCTTAAGAAAGATAAAAGTTACAAATATCTTTACTGTTCATTACAAGGAAAGACCTGTCACACTCCAACAGAAGTATCTGAAAATTCCCAATCCCAATCAAGCTCCACCTTCTCATTCCACACTGCAAGATCCACTTTAAACCATATTTTTCCTCCCTGCTTTACCAATGAGCCACATCCCCAGCCCTTTTTATTTTGAGCTAGGGTCTTGTAAGTTACTTAGGGCCTTACTAAATTGCTGAGGCTGGCCTTGAATTTGCAATCCTCCTGCCTCAGCCTCCCAAGTCGCTGGGATCATAGGTACTAGTGGGCCTGCTTTAAACCATATTTTAAGACTACCACAACACTAGTATTCTCCTTACTACACTGAGCTATAAATTCTGTTTTGTCTTATCACAGGTTGTTTTGATGAGAATGTGGAAGCAGGCATTTACGTGACCCATACCTGTGCAAGGGTCTGCTGCATCCTCTCCAGGGGAGGCCACTTGTTGTTGTAAATCAGACTCTTCTTCTGCCACCACCTCCACAGCTGCCGCCTCCTCTAGCCTGGGCTGTGTGGGGCTTTGGCCATCTGAGGGAGGCCAGGGCCACAGTAGCAGTTCAAAGCCTGGCAGCACAACCCGGTACACCTGCAGGTGAAGCCTCTCGTTGATCTGAACTGGGGCCACGTTTCCCTCACTCTCCAGCCTGCCCCGCTGCACCAAACTGCAAAGCAGATCAAGAGCTAGCTCAGCAGATTCTTTTCAAGTGAACTTCCTTGACAGCCCCAGCTCTCAGGAAGGGTGAATCCCAGAGGACATGCCCTTGGAAAACACACAGGAAAACATCCTTGGGTAGGGGATTATAGTCAGCTTCAGATTCCATCCCAAGCCTTTAAAAAAAGCCTCAAAGGAGCACATTCAGAATGTATGCTTCTGGGGCTGGGGAGGTGGCTCAAGCGGTAGCGCGCTCGCCTGGCATGCGTGTGGCCCTGGTTCGATCCTCAGCACCACATACAAACAAAGACGTTGTGTCCGCCGAAAACTAAAAACATAAAAATTCTCTCTCAAAAAAAAAAAAAAAAAAAAAAGAATGTATGCTTCTGTACTTACCTGGTCCAGCCTGAACTCTGCTCACAGGCACACACTGCCCCCCATGGGTCTAGTGACAGGTCCTAAAATAAACCAATAAAAGTCATTCTCACATGTATTTAAGGAAGCCAGTTTGGGAAGAGGAGGACCCAAACTGGATGAAACCTCTCCTGGGACAAATCTAAGATGAAGTTTCTGTAAGGTTAGCAGATTCTGGTGCTGCCTCTGCATCTAAGGGCTGATTCAGTTAATAAAGACCAAAGAGTATTTCCCTCCCAAGGGTATGAAAAATTAGTAAAGTGAACACATTAATAGAGGAACATAATTTTTTAATAGTACTTATGGACTTAAACAATTTACTGCACTGCATTATTTCATCTAGTCTTCCAAATGATCCTGAAGAAAGCCACTGCTTTATTTTACAGATGAGTTAAAGGATGTATATAATTTGGCTAGCTAGGTGACAAGGTTGGGATAAATTCTAATAACCTTAGCTCTTGACCTTGGTTCACTGCTGACACTAACACTAATTTAGCTTTTAACAACTTTACACACACCTTGATTCCTTAACTACTATGGAGGGAGAGCCTTGCTGAGAAGGCACAAAACCATCTCCAACCGCTTAAAATACTCGCTTCTAACAAACCGGAGGGTCGTCGGGAAATGTCTAAATCTTCCCCCAATTTTCAGAGTCGCCTCATCCCTCATTACCTTCTGCTGTCGTTTCACTTCCTCGCCCTTCTCGGAGACAGCCTTTTCTTCCAGAGGGTCCCAGTGCAGTCCTGGCTGTAGGGGTTCCCCGACACACCAGACCCCCAAACGCTGTTCCTGAGCGAGTGAGGGACCCACGGCCAAGCCCCGGGGAAGGCTCTTTAGAGCGAGAATGGCCCGGCTCCCCCAAGGCGGGCGGTCTTTGAGGCACTGAGCACAATCTTCCAATGGGCTCCATCCCGACTCCGGGTCCAGGCGCGGTTCCGGGGCTGCAGAGAGTCGGGAAAGCAATGAGGAAGCGGCCCATGCAGGCGCTGGGAACCATGCGGGAGGAAACTGCATGCTCAGCGAGGCCTCAGGAGTCGGGAGGGAGAAACAAGGGCTCTAAGGTGGCCCCTGAGAGGTTTGAAGGGGTTCGAAGACTCTTAAGAAGCTCCGAGAGCCCCTGAGGAAGCCGGAGGAAGATCTCAGGCTCCAGAGGACTGGACTGGCGAGGAAAGAGACGAGTATAGAATGCTGGAGCCATTTAGGCCAGGGCTGAAGGCCGCAGGCATGGCAAGTTACTCACCCGGCAGCAGAGTCTCCCCATTCAAGTGCGGCGCTTCCTCCTCCTCCATCCCAGATGAAAATACCTCCCTCCGCCGGAAGTGAGCGTCCTCATTTCAACTCCTCCCGGAAACAGTCAGGGACTTCCAAATTTCCTCTTAGGAAAGAATCCAGAGTCAGACCTCTTTGGTGCACAGGACCGGGAATTTGGGAGTAGTTGGAAGGAAAAACTCTGTCCGAGAACAATACGAACCTAGGGTTCTGGAGGCCCACCAGGGATTCGAGTATCTGGATAAGCGGAACTAATGCGTTCTATCACCCTCCTTGCGGAAACGGGGGAGCCACGAGTCGGACAGTTACGTTGTCCCTCCCCGAGGCAGGGATTTCGGCGGGCAGTGCGGGGAAGTGGACGGGGCTCCAGGGAAGGCCATGTTTAGACCGGGCAGCGAACCGGAAGCTGGTTGGAGGTGTGGCGGAAGTGGTTGGGGAGTGAGGCTACCCGAAGGGGGCGGTTCCCGTTCCACAGCGGAGCCGGATGTTTGCCGAGCTTTGACAGGCGTGGCCGAGGGAGTAGTGCCCGAGCGCGGTAAGCTCCAGGGCTTGGGGTCCCTCCGGGTGGGGTACGGGAAGGGAAAGACCTGGTCATCTGAAGGAATGGGATCCGGGTAGGGGAGACGCGAGCAGATCTAAGGAAGGGGAGCGGGGGTGGAATTGCGCCTGGGGCCCTGGGCTTTCTGCTGCGGGGATTGCCCTCACTTTGGCGCCTGCCGGGAGAAAATAGTCTCTTTCGCTGACTTCTTGCCCTACCCAGGGCAGAGGCCAGGCCAGATAGCTTTGAACAAGCCCGTGGGAGGGAGAAGTCTCCCAGATACCATCTAGGGAAGCATTAAGGATGAGAAATTTGGGGAGAAGTGTTCCACCCTGCCACTTATTCGGCCAGGCTTTTAGATCACTTTCTTAATTTGTGAAATGAGATTAATTACACTCAATCCTGGTTTTAAAAAACTCAGCGCAAATGTGATTGTAGTTTAGAGTCTTGTTATTGTAATGGTGTGAGATATGTGTTTTTGTAATTCTAGAGCCACAGCTAATAGGCCAATGCAGCACCAGAAAAAAAAACGATTTCAAGAGTCTATCTCTGGTCTGCATAAAGGAAAGATTAATCGAGAAGTTGTTCTTTTGAACCTTGAGAATCGCATAAATGAATTGTTGAGGGATTGCCTTTCACCAAGAGTCTATCTCAGAGAACAATTAAAAATCTTGCCTCTTGGGCTGGGATTGTGGCTCAGAGGTAGAGCGCTTGCCTAGCATGCACGAGGCCCTGGGTTCCACCCTCAGCACCACATAAATGTAAAATAAAGATATTGGGTCCACCTAAAAACTAAAAACTAAAAAAAAAAAAAAAAAAAAAATTAAAAAATCTTGCCTCTGTAAGTTGTATGACTTTTTTGCAATTTGCTTCTCACTTCCTCAAACTGTAAAATGGGCCCAGTAAACAGGCTTGGTAGTACATGCTGGACCAGTGCTGTTTTGAAGTTAATTGCTTGTGTCCAATTCATGTCCCTCAACTGTATTAGTTCCCTTCTCCACTTAGGAAAAGAATTCACTGATTCTGTAATTCACCTAATGATTGAGCACCTACCATGTGCCAGGCATTATTATGAATAGGTTTTTTTGTTTCTGTGGTACTGGGAATGAAAACCAGGGCCTTGTGCATGCTAGGCAGATGCTGTACCACTGAGCTGCATCCCAGCTTTTGAGTGAGTTCTTAAATAGTGATTCTCAGGGGGTTTGTGGACCCCTTAAATTTTCACGTAAGTCTACATATACCTGTTGACTATTTTTTTAGGGAAAAAAGTCCACAAATGACATCATTTTGGACAACCGTTTCCCAAAAGTTAAAACTGGTACCTAAAGTGATTCTCAAAGATTTGGGGAAAGTTATATGGTTGATCTGCTGAAAAGGAAAAATTGATCTCAAGAGTGGGAAGTATGGGGGCTGGGGATGTGGCTCAAGCGGTAGCGTGCTCGCCTGGCATGCGTGCGGCCCGGGTTCGATCCTCAGCACCACATACAAACAAAGATGTTGTGTCCACCGAAAACTAAAAAATAAATATTAAAATTCTTTAAAAAAAAAAAAGAGTGGGAAGTATGGAATGGAATGGAACAGGACTTGCCATTGGTGGGTATCTTAGGCAGCCAGCATACATGATTTCCACTACTTTATCTTAGAATTTTCTTTCACTCACTGGCTTTCTTCACTCTCTTGCTGATTGTAGCTAAACTTCTGGGCTCAAAGAAGGCGACAGCTGTGTGTTATAGGGGGACTAGGGAGGTTGGTATGGCAGGGAGGTGGGACCATTGTGATTACCTTTGAAAAAGGAGATTATGTGGGGAATTGAGGGAGGTCAAGTTTAGAAAAACTTGACAGAGGAGGAGTATATGGAAAAGAAGTGGAGTTCAAGTTCAGCCCCCTGTTAGATGTGTCCTTCTCTCTCCTTCACACATAGCTCAGTCCCTAACTGCTGCTTCTAATCCTTCTGTTCACTTCGGCACAAGTTATTTCTTAGCACTGCCGAATTATTTTCCTGGGAGGAGCCTTAGCTTCCACAGATGAGGACATTGAGGCCCAGGATTTTTGCAACTCGTTGGCTTAGACAGGACCATAACCCTGAATTCCATGTACTTGACCCCATGCTTTTTCCATCACATGAAGCACCTACTGTATGCAGAAGGATTTCTCTGGGATATCTATTAGTGATGATGGACCCCCTGGTGCCTGGGCAGTGACAAGACAGAAAGGATGGAGAAAATGCTCAGGCCTAGAGGGTTTTGCTTTGGATTAGATTCTGTCCCTCTTATTCAGCTGTAGGCCGCTGTTGGGAAGCAACCCACAGTCTCCTGGTTGAATGGGGGAGGAGCATGTAGAAGGATGGGGTGAATCTCTTCAAGACAGAAGATGGCCTACTTTGGAGGGCTGAGGGTTGCAGAGAAGTAAGGAGTTAGGCATTAGAGTGAGGGTTCTTAGTACTCACTGAGAGGATATGGATAAGGCCAGGGGAGAGGGAGAGAGAAAGGAAGAGGAGGACTTTCTGACCCTTTGATTCGGGAGCTTGAAACAGCTTTTTCCACTGACTCAGTGGTTGTCCTGGTAACGGGGTGGTTGTTGCTATGCTCAGGGAGCAGGCTCACCATCCAGAGTCCTTGGCTGTGAAATTTGCGGGAGGTTGTCATGTCGCCTTAGAGCCCAGCTTGTGGATCTCAGATGACAGCTCTCTCCTTCTTCCTACCCACCCCCAAGTCCTATCTGCTCTCCTTATCTGCCCTACTGATTCTCTGACCATATATGTCATTTTCTGGGCTCCAGGAATGCAGCAGCCCTGAGAGCAGTCTCTTCTAGGGTTGGAAAAATGGATTGAATTAATACCCCCTCCCTCACCCATCTGGTGAGAGCAGGAGGTGAATCCTGCACGACTGAGGACAGAGGGTGTCACCACTATATGGCCAGGTCCCAGACGAGGAAACCTGGTTCAGTGTCAGCTCTTCTCCCTACTTCCTACTTGTCTGTCACTGACCTTACTTTAGCACTCCAGATATCACTAACCACTCCCTTTTCTATCTGTGCCATCCAATCCTTAGAGTAGTCTATCCACCTTTCCACCTTGAAAGTGGTATGCGAACCTTCCCACAGGTCTTAACATGGAGACCTGCAGATTTGTCTTTTGGGACTAGCCAGCAGATTCCATTCCTGTTGCTGGTTCCTGTCCTGGGGCAAACCTAGCTGGGCTGCTCAACCATGACCTTTTTCCTGGGACCCTGTCATCTCTGGCTACCTCCTCTTCTCAGGCCAGTGGGGAGGGGTGGAGAAGATAGGATCACAGCCATGCAAGGCCTTTGGAAATCCTTAGATTCCTTAGATTCTTATAACATCCACTGTGTAACTGCTGGGACCCACGAGGCTTTTGTACTCCAGGGACATGGACCTCTGCCCTTTGCAGCTGGGACTGCACCCCCCGGCCTGTTGGGTGGTAGGCAGCTCAGGACGTGGCACAGATCTTCCTATCTAGCTGAGGACCTGAGGGAAGGTACCAAGCTGTGCCATCCTCTGCCCCAACTGCCTTTCCTGGCAACATGCTCCATGGAACTCTTGGCAAGATGAGAAGTGTTGAGGAATAGGGACAAGGGAGCCAGGAGAGGGAAGAGGGGCCAGGAGGGCTTGCAAAAAAATTACAGAAGGTGAAAAGAGGGGGTTACTGACCCTCCACCTTTTTAACTCTCCCAGCTCTGCCTTCAGGTTCTGCCACAAAGGACAGATTTTGCCATGGATCCGCTCTCAGAGCTGCAGGATGACCTGACCCTCGATGACACCAGCCAGGCTCTGAACCAACTGAAGTTGGCCTCCATTGATGAGAAGAACTGGCCCTCAGATGAAATGCCGGACTTTCCCAAGTCAGGTGGGCACCACCAGGTCTTGGGCAGCTGTAGGCATGTTGGAGGGGAGACCTACTTCCTGCTGAAGGGAGAGCCCAGGGGAGCAACCTGGGAGCAAGCAGACAGCCCCAGGATTGGGCCAGGAAAACAAGCCTTCCTGAGGGGAGGGCCAGCAAGGGTGTATCAGGGAAAGCACTGTATCAGCCACCTGGATTTATACCCTGATTTTGTCCTTTTCTCAGATGACTCCAAAAGCAGCTCCCCGGAACCAGTCACACACTTGAAGTGGGATGACCCTTACTATGACATTGCCCGGCACCAGATTGTGGAGGTGGCAGGTGAGCACACCCAGCTCTGCACCTTTTTCCTCATGGTCTGTGCTCCTGGTTTAAAGAAGCTCACCCCTCACACCATAGGGGAGGGGTCTGGGGGGCATGCTGGTGTCTACCTATGGTTTGACCTAAGATCTTGGAGCTCCTCAGCACATGTACCTTTCTTTAAAAAGCACAGGCTTGATTGTGATTGCCTCTTGATACTTTCACCCCTCACTGCTTCCTGATCTATGGTCTTGTTGTTTCCATTTGAGATGATACATGGGAGGCAATATGGCCTAGTAACTTTGAAGTCAGAAAGTGCTGGGTTTGATCTCCAGCTCTGCTCTCTGAGCTCTTCCTCACTGGGTCATGAAATCATGAATGTATGTCAGGGCTTAGTGCTGAGCAAGAGCATAGTGGGCCCTGAGTGAGTAGCCTTGCCTTTCCCCTTATTCCATTCATTCCATTCCCCATTTTTCCCCTTGGCCCTGAGGTCAACTTTTCTACCCAATCAGTTATGGGAGCTGAGGGGGCGTGTCAGTCCTTCTTGGGAAACCATACCTCTAAGGATGTCTGGAATGGACAGAGCTTCCTTCCAGAAGTTCAGAGTAACATAGCTCCTAGAGTATCAAGTTGCTGGCAGATGTGTACCCTGTCTTGAATGGGTGGAGAGCCCCCTTTGGGTCTCTGCCTCAGGAA